CCTGAGCCAAATTGGTTTCAGCAGGACAACATTTTTAGATAGCCAAAGCAGCCCCTCCTATTGCTTCTTCTATCCTAAGCCCTTCCTTCTTTCACTGTTGCTAACTTTAATAAACATATTCTCAAAATTACCTGAACTCATATTATGAAATGTTTTCTGCACAAAAACTGGCTAGCCCTAAGAATAACTGCTGTAGGCTGGACTCCTTTTCAGTAACAGTGTAGAGAGCCTCCGGAACAACTTCAAGTGTGCCAACATTACACCATGGGGTTATCGGAAGGAGAAGAGAGTGAGGAAGAAATTGAAAACCTATTTGAAGAAAAAGAAAAATGACAGAAAACTTCCCTAACCTGGTAAAGGAAAGAAATGTAAAAAACCAGAAAGTAGAGTCCCAAACAAGATGAACTTAAAGACACCCACACCAAGGCACATCATAATTTCAATACAAAAGATTAAAGACAAAGAAAGAATCTTGAAACCATCAGGAGAAAAAGATTAGTTACCTAAAATTGACAAATTAGTTGACCTATTTTTATTATGTAGAAACATTTGCATAATTAAAATTATTATGGAAAGTTTAATTTCACAGAGAAGTTTTCTATATGTATTACAATAACTTAAAATTTATACTGAAAACAATAAAATTTATACTGAATAGGTCTAAATTTATACTAAATAGGTGTGCATTCACTAGTCACTATTAGTAAACAAATGCACATGGCTGGGACATGGCTTAGTAAAAAGAGGAACATCAGCCAGGAGTTAATACTGCTGAGCGTCATGCCACAGGACAACCAATTATTGCATATGATGTGATGTGATCATGTTCTCATCATTTGCCAAACATTGTTTATAAGCAGTTACCCTTGGATTTACATATGTAGATTATAGTTCTGGATATGTAATATATATGTCACAGAAATTAGTAGTGTTTATTTCCAACATATAACCTATTCACTAAAATTTATAAAAGTTGTGAATAACAAACAAAAAATAGCAATTAATTTATTATAAGCAAATCTTGTTTAAAAGCACTTAAAAATTAACAGGGTGTTAATTTTCACATATGACATACAGACTGGAATTTTTGTCTGTTAAATCCAAAATGTGTTAAATTAAGGTCCACAAAATGGAGGGTTTACTATATGTAAACCAAGAACACTCTATTTGGCAAAGTTATCAATTTAGAATAAAAAAACATATAAAGAGCTTCCCAGACAAAAAAGTTAGAGGGGTTAATCACAACCAAACCAGTATTACATAAAATGTTAAAGTATCATCTTTAAGAAAAAGGAAAAAAAAGATAACACAGATGAACAATAGACAATCTACACTAATAACATGCAAAGTGACCATACCTCTGCTATGCCCACAAGCCATGCCCACCAGCTAATCAGGAGTGATTATGCAAATTGACCCAACCAAGATGGCTGTGGCCATGGAGCAAGCAGGAGGCTTGTGTTTCCCCAGCAATGGAGGAAGCCAAGCTTCCCATAGCCCTGGGGAAGCTCAAGGCTACAAAGTTTCAATTATAGAAGACTAGAGGCCCAGTGCATGAAGTTTGTATGCAGGGGGAAGGGATGGTGGTGATGTTCCTCAGCCCAGCCTGTACCCTCTCCAATCAGGAACCCCTGGAGAGATGTCCGACTGCCTGTTCAAATGGGCAGTCGGACATCCCTCTCACAATCCAGGACTCTGGTTCCCAATTACTTGCTTGCCTGCCTTCCTGATTGCCCCTAACCACTTCTGCCTGCCAGCCTGATTACCCCCTAACCACTCCCATGCCAGCCTGATTGATGTCTACCTGATCCTCTGCCAGCCTGTTTGCCTACAACTTCCCTCTTCTGCCGTCCTGGTCAGCTCTAATTGCCCATCCCTGCAGGATTGATCACCCCCAACAGACCGCCCTTGCAGACCTGTTGCCTCCCAACTGCCCTCCCTGCTTTACTGACCACCCAAAACTGCCCTCCCTTGCAAGCCTGGTCCTTCCCAATTGCCCTCCCCTGCTGGCCATCTTGTGGTTGCCATCTTGTGTCCACATGGGAGCAGCTATCTTGATCTTGTGTGTTGGAGTGATGGTTAATCTGCATATTACTCTTTTGGAGTGGAGCGAAGCCTTCTGCTTCCTCTGTGGCTGCTGCCATTTGTTTGGATTTTTTTACCTTCCATAATTGCACCTTTGTAGCCTTGAGTGGAAGCCTAGGCAAGCTAGGGCAGGCAGAAAGCCTAGCTTCTTCCATTGCCTGGGAAACCCAAGCCTCCCTCCTGCTCTCTGTGGCTGTAGACAACTTGGTTAGGCTTAATTTACATACTTGCTCTGATTGGCTTGTATGTGTGGCTTGTAAGTGTAGTGAAGGCATGGTTAATTTGCATATTACTCTTTTATTAGATAAAATAAATAAATCCCAACAAAAATGGCAACAACCACAGAGCTGGAGAGAGCAGGAGGCTTGAGGTGCCCCTGGCAATGGAAGAAGGCAAGCTTCTCACGGGCCTGGCCTGTCTTGGCTTCTGCTCAAGGCTACAAAGTTTCAATTACAGAAGATAAATAAATCCCAGATACCATGGCCTCCACTTGGGTTGCCAGGGGGCATGGCTGGCCTGCAAACCACCACAGGCCCCTCACCAGGCTGCCCCATGCTCCAAGGGAAATCCCCCACCTGATCTGGGACACCATTCAGGGCAAACCAGCCATTCCCGACCCATGTACCAGGCCTCTATCTTATCTAATAAAAGAGTAATATGCAAATTGTCAGTCCAACACACAAGATGGCTGCCCCCATGTGGACACTACATGGTCACCACAAAATGACCAGCAGGGGAGGGCTGTTGGGAGGGATCAGGCCTGCAAAGAGGGCAATTGAGGGTGATCAGGCCCACAAGGGAGGGCATTTGGGAGAATCCAGACATGTAAGGGAGGGCAGTTGGGAGCAATCAAGCCTGTAGGAGAGGGCAGTTAGGGATAACCAGGCTGGCAGAGGAGAGAATTTAGGGGCAACTGGGCCTGCAGGGAAGGACAGTTGAGGAGGACCCAGGTCTGTAGGGGAGGGAAGTTAGGGGTTACCAGGCGTGCAGGGGAGGGCAGTTAGGGGCAATCAGGCTGGCAGGCAGAAACTGTTAGTGGCAAATCAGGAAGGCAGGCAGGTGAGCAGTTGGGAGCCAGCAGTCCTAGATTGTGAGAGGGATGTCCCAGATTGGAGAGGGTGCAGGCTGGGCTGAGGGACCCCTCTTCTCCCTTCTCCCCCTCCTCCCAGGCATGAACTGGGCCTCTTGTAAGTATATATTTATCAACATGTGTATCTAAAAACAAAATAAATGAACAAGCAGAGCAAAAACAGATTCTTAGATATAGAAATCATTTTTTACAGTTGCCAGTTAGGAGATTGGGAAGATGAGTAAAAAAAGTGAAGGGATTTAGAAGTTCAGATTGGATGTTACAAAATAGTCATAAGTTCAGGATAAAGAGTATAGTCAATAATATTTGAATAACTGCATTTGGTGTCAGATGGATATGAGTTCTAACAGGATGATCATTTAGTAAATTATATAATGTTTAATCACTGGGGTGTATACCTCAAACTAATATATTGCACTAGAGGCCCGGCACATGAAATTTGTGCACTGTTGGAGACGGGGAATACCTTAGCCCAGCCTACACCCTCTCTAATCTGGGACCTCTTGGGAGATGTCCAACTGCCTATGGGATCAGGCCTAAAACAGCAGTCGGACATCCTTCTCACAATCTGGGACTGCTAACTCCTAACCACTAACCTGCCTGTCAAGCTGATCACCCCTAACAACTCCCCTGCCATCCTGATTGACGCCTAACTGTTCCCCTGCTGGCCCAGTAACCCCCAATTGACCTCTCTGCTGGCCCAGTTGCCCCCAACTGCCTCCCCTGCCAACCTGGTTGCGCCTAACTGGCCTTCCCTGCAGGCCTAGTCATACCCAACTGCCCTTCCCTGCTGGCCTGATTGCCCACAACTACCCTCCCTGCCAGCCACCTTGTGGTGGCCATCTTTGACCATTGTGCAATGGTGTGAGGATAAATTTGCATATTACATCTTTACTATAAAGAATGTCAAGTGTAATTGGAAAAAAAAAAAAAAAAAAAGGTTTTAAAATGTGGTCTTAGGCCCTAGCCAGTTTGGCTAATCAGACTGAGGGCTCCCAGGTTCAATTCTGGTCAAGGGCACGTACCTCAGTTTTAGGCTTAATCCCAGCTCCAGTGTGCAAGGAGGCAACATTGGGTCTCTCTTGCATAGATGTTTCTCTCTCTGTCTCTCCCCCTCCCTTCTACTCTCTCCAAAATCAGTGGGAAAAAATACCCTCAGGTGAGTAATAACAACAATAAAAAAATGTGGGCTTAAGTATTGCTTCTGCTACAGTATTTATGACTAAGGCAAAGTTCTCTACTCTCCCTAAGCTTAGTAAAGGGTGTCAGGATTAATGATTAGGCTGCCAGGCCTAGCCTTCTAATTACTAATTCAGTTTCCAGCCATCAAAATCCTAAGAAGTCACTACCTTATATGACAAATCAAGTTTTCTAAGCTTGGACAAGTACCACTTTTCACCCTCCAAGAGGTTTTAAATTAATAAGCTGGGATTTTGCTTTATTGCTCATTTCTTATGAATTTGATTAATATAAGTTTAATGACAAAGCAAATTCAAACAACCAAATTCCTAAACAGAAAAAATTAAAGACAAAAGCTTGGAGCCATGGTAAAGCTATCAAGGAACTAAGAATAAATGCACCATGAGGCTCAACCTGAGCGGCCAACTGGCTTCTCATTTTCAAGCTATCTCTTCATCCTCCAGTGTCCCTTTCACTCAGCTCTATTTCTTCTGCATATTCTGTAGGAATGTCATCATTAACCCATTACATGGCATCAGTCAGGTTATTCATCAAAGTTAATATAGGAAAAAGATTAGAACTCTTTTCTTAATCAACATTCAAAAATACCATGGTACCATTTATATAGCAATCTTGAGATAATTACCTGTTCAAGTACTCTCTTACATCGTTTCTTCTCAGACATATTTATCCTGAATAAATCTTCAATGGGACGAGAATTTTGTGCATCAACAATGTTTCTACAAAAGAAATACAATATAGCTTTTCATTTAAGAACCTGGACAGCATACAGAGGCCTGCTGAGCTCTTGTTTACCACACAAATATATATGAGTAAGCTTCTGTCCATGACAGAGAGAGAAAGTAAGATTAACTAACTGGTGACTATAAATAAAATGTTATATAAAGGTGGTAAATATAATAATTGAGGTTTATCTGGCTACCTCAAGTAGCAAAGTAATACTATACATAAAATTCACTATTTTGAGATTCTTGAAAATACACGCTCTCAGTGAGTGCTAGGAGAGCTATTAAAATAATACAAACCCTTGTGTTAAATGCATAAAAATTATGATTGATCTAAAGATGAAGTTTTACCTTATGATAAATTTTGTGTTTTATAAATACTGCATATAAGGAATTTAAAAATGCAAGTGCTATAAACAAACAACTTAGAGACTTTTTCGTTTATGAAGAAAGGGAGAGTCCTTTTCTCTTTGTGCTTACATTCATTATAATCATTAAATGCTGTGCTAGGTGCTTTTGCATTTCATAGTATTTAAAGTTCACACACCCTATTAAGTAGGTGAGGTTCTTATTTTCACAATTGAGGAAAATAAGATCCAGAAAGAATAAGCATATAAATAAGAATATAAAGCCAAAAAAAAAGTTATCAGAATGTGGTAGAATCTAACTACAAATCCTATGACTTTATCAAAGAGTCAAGTTATTCACAGTAGGGAGGCAAAGCAAGTCATTAATATACAGATTAAATCAAAATAAATAAACTTCATAAGCCCCATTATTCTGTAAATTATAATCCTATGTAATAAGCACACTAAATATTTTGATGTAAGAATTCAGCATTAAGCTTTAATCGATTTTATTAGAGTTCCATTTACTAATATAATTCTGAGAGATTGACAAATACTGAGTTAAAAGACACTTAAAAAATCCTCCAACTTTCCTCCAATGAAGTAAAAAAAAAAAATTTAAAAAAAAGAATACTTACGAAGCTAATAGTTCAAGAGCAACTAGTTTGTCTTTACTGAAGGTAAAACAGTTGAGTATTTTGACCACTTCTGCTGGATGAACAGCCACCATTTTCTATTGATATAAAAATAATTTTCATTTGAACATGAGAAATTTTCAAGCCAGAAAATTTGGGGGAATGAATAACTAGTTAATGTTTGTAATTTAAATATTTGAGGTGAAAACTGCTTACTCAAAAGTAAGCTCTAACTAATATCAGAATTAAACTTCACCTTTCAATGTAATTATTTCAAATAAAAATCTAAATTCTCCTATCTGCTCTTTTTTAATCTCTATTTCTCAATGTGTACTTCTACAGAAAAAATAATTTACATGTACTACTTTCCATATGGGACATATATTGCTCAAAAAGTTAAAAACAAACAAAACAAAACCTACATTTCTTAAAATACAAGGTACACCATAATCAGCACTTCCTAAAATGAGGTCCATGGTCCTATGCAGTGTTACTAAAAATGAGTGCTACAGTCAGACCAGTTAGAAAAAGATGGACTAAACAGGTTTCTTTATTGCAGAACTCTCTAAAGTAGTGGTTCTTAGTCTTCCTAATGCCTCAACCCTTTAATACAGTTCCTCATGTTGTGGTGACCCCCAACCATAAAATTATTTTCGTTGCTACTTCATAACTGTAGTTTTGCTACTGTTATGAATCGTAATGTAAATAAATATCTGTGTTTTCCAATGGTCTTAGGCTCTACAGCAGCTGCTCTCAAAAACTGCTAGCCTGATCGCCTAAGACCATCAGAAAACAGATATTTACATTACGATTCATAACAGTAGCAAAACTACAGTTATGAAGTAGCAACAAAAATAATTTTATGGTTGGGGATCACCACATGAGGAACTGTATTAAAGGGTCACAGCATTAGGAAGACTGAGAACCACTGCTCTTAAGTTTTACGTTAATGTGCATTGTGGCACCCCAAATATATATGATATATTACATAACTTATTTGAAAAAGGTTCTTTATTTTTGAAGAGCAGGTAGAAGATTTGGCCAATTTAAAGATTTATGTTAACAGTGGAGAAAATCCAAAGCAAAGCCAATGTAATATCACTTAAAATCAACACCTAACAGATTCCTAAATTTGAATTGGTGATTTTAAAATATTTTATTCATGTACCATTAAAAGAATTTGCATGTTTTTAATTGACATCTAAAAAATTAACAGAGGTGTAAATATTTGTAAAAGATTTATTTCCTTATTTATAAGTTTACTAGAGGCCCAGTGCACGAATAAAGATCAAGGCCTATGGGGGGGCCAGCCGGCTGGAGGGGGACCATGATAGGTTGTCTGTGGGAGCGCAATGACCACCAGAGGGCAGCTCCTGCATTGAGCACCTGCCCCCTAATGGTCAGTGCATGTCATGGCAACTAGTCAAGCGGTCATTCTGGTCATTCCAGTCATTCAGTCATAACGGTCGCTTAGGTTTTTATATGTATTAGAGACCCGGTGCACAAAATTCATGCACTCAGGGTGAGGGGTGGAGGAATTCCTTCAGCACGGATTGCAAGTGGGCACAGGCCAGGCCGAGGGACCCCACCAGTGCACAATCAGGGCCAGAAAGGGACACGGGAGGTTGGCCAGCCAGGAAGGCACTGCGGGAGGGCTCCAGTGTGTCCAGCCTGTCTCACTCAGTCCCGACTGGCCAGACACCAACAGTAAGCTAACCGACCGGTTGGAACATCTTCCCCCTGGTGGTCAGTGCATGTCATAGTGAGCAGTTGAGTGACCTTAGCATATGATTACCATATTATGGTTTGATTAGTTGAATGGCCAACTGGAAGCCTGGACACTTAGCATATTAGGCTTTTGTTACATAGATTATATATTTGTAAAAAAACCCTTGGAACTCATATGAAAATGTATTATGTAACCTATTTGTCAAAGTCAGTCTTTCAGACTTTGTCAGAAAAGGTTAAGCTTAATTTAATTCAAATAAATTCATTAAGTTGTGCCTGTGCTAACCTTCTCACCTACCCTGTTTACCCGAAAATAAGACAATGTCTCATATTAATTTTTTCTCCCAAAGTTGTGCTAGGTCTTATTTTCAGGGGATGTCTTATCTTTCCATGTGCTAGGTCTTATTTTTGGAGGATGTCTTATTTTCGGGGAAACTGCTATTAAGTTTTACGTTAATGTGCATTGTGGCACCCCAAATATATATGATATATTACATAACTTATTTGATATATTACATATTACATATCTTTAAATTGGCCAAATCTTCTACCTGCTCTTCAAAAATAAATATTCTAAATAGGTGAGCCGGCCTCAGAGCAGAGTTTGTTAGCTTGATAAGATAAGCAAGATCCCCGACAGTATTTCTTACAGAAGCTCTTGCTTTGCTCTCCCTCTCAGGAGGCTGTATTGTCTCTTTGGCCCTTGGAAAAAGATCTTCATCTCTAGAGGATGGGTGGCTGGGTGAGATAACCATTTTTTTGTATGGCAGAAAAAAAAACAATTGTTAAAAAGAAGCACTAACAGACTCACTTTCTTAGGCAATTAGTTTAGGAAGTTAAGAATCTATAGATTTCCTTAAAGCTACCTATGCCTGATACTCTAGAAAAAACTTCCTATATATCGGTAGCTAAACTAGCGGCCCGATACAAGAAATTTGTGCAAGAGTAGGCCTTCCTTCCTCTGGCTGCAGCACCAGCTTCCCTCTGGCACCCGAGACCCAGGCTTCCCTTGCAAGCCCGGCTTCTTATAGAAGGTCGTCCAGTCTAATTAGGATATTACACTTTTATTATTATAGATATTGTCTAAATTTAGATGCCTCTGTTAATCTAGGCTGTAGAACTGTGCAATCCACACAACAGACATTAGGTGTCTGTGTCTGTTTAAATCAAAATTAATTAAAAATTATATAATTCCTCAGACAGCCTAGCCAGATTTTAAGTACTCCAAAAAACATGTAGCCAGTGGACTACAGGCCCGGTGCATGAATTCGTGAAAGGTGGGATCCTGTCGGACTGCCCCATGGGGTCGATCAGGGCCAGGCTGGCAGGGGGAAGGGGAAGCAGGAGGTTGGCCAGCCAACCCTGGCCCCAATCAGGGTGATGGGAGCTAATCAGGAGTTGGGTTGATGGGGAGGAAGGGGCTACAGGAGGTTGGGGGGATAACTGGGGCCCTGATTGGGCAGGATGGCCACGGCAGTGTGCATCATAGCAACTGGTTGTTTCATCATTCTGGACGCTTGGCTTTTATATACATAGACTAGTGCCTGGTGCACAAAATTTGTGCATTGGAGGGGGTCCCTAAGCCTAGCCTGCACCCTCTTCAATCGGGGACCTGTTGGGAGATGTCCAATTGTGGAATCCGGCTTAAACCGGCCGTTGGACATCCCTCTTGCAATCTGGAACTGCTGCCTCCTAACCACTTACCTGCCTGCCTTCCTGCCTGATCATCCCTAACTGCCTCTGCCTACCTGCCTGATCACCCCTAACTGCCCTCCCCTGCTGACCTGATCTTGCCCCCAACTGCCCTCCCCTGCCAGCCTGGTTGCCCTCAACTGCCCACCCTGCTGGTCTGATCTAGCCCAGTATCTGTCTTTGTTTTTTTCAGCAGTTCTCCAGGCCTCCCTGCCTCCATGTCTCCATCTTCCTCTTTCCTGGCTGGGAAGGGATGGGGCCAGTGGGAACTGCTCCACCCTCTGCCCGCCCTCCCTCCCATCCAGGCCTCCTCAAGCCCAGTCTGTCTTGTTTCCTCATTCTGAGCGAGCTGGGAGGGAGGGAAATAAAGGGAGAAAAGGCTGTAAGCTGGTGGGCGCTGTGTGTGTCTGTGCATGTGTGTGATTGTGAGTGAGTATGAGTGCCAGCCCTGTGTCCCCTATCCCAGTCTCTGCTGCCACAAGTCCCCACCCATCAGAGCCTGCTGCACATGCAGCCTGGGCATGAGCTCTGGTCATTGTGGATGTGATGGACCCAGGGTTTTTCTATATTAGGATAGTGCCATTTATAAAACATTTCTATTATGATAAAAAGTTCATTTGGACAGTGTTGGTCCAAAGAATGTAAGTTTAAAACCATCTGAATACAAAAGGGTGAAGATATCCAAAAGTAGAAGAAAGTGCATAAAATACTTAGAAATTCAAATCTTACCTTTTGCTTACCTATAAACATTTTCTCCTCCAATCCACCAATTAAGACTCTATGGTATTTAATCTTAGAATAATGGTGTATAATTTAACAATACAGTATACATAAATTTAAATTTATACTGAATTTTAAATTTTATACATAAATTTATAAATTTTTAAGTTATTTTGAATAATAAAAGTAAACTACAATTTAGGATCGGTTTTTAAAAATACAAACAAATTACAACTTAAGATGAATTACAGAAAATTAGGGGAGAATCCAAAATACTTAAATTCTATATTCTAAGGAAAAATAAGTTACTTACATGTTGTAATGCTTTCATTGCTTTCAACTGAGGTTCTGCCCAGGAGAAGTATCTCAGTAATTCAACCACCTGAAAGTAAATAAGTAATTTAGCTCTAATGAAAATGTGTTTGCAAAAATTTCTGCAAGGTTTATTTCAGTATTTTGAATTACTATACAAAATGTTCTGCTGGGTGATGAGGGGTAAGCATGGCACCAGAGTTTAAACTGTGTTAATAGAGTAACGACATGCATCTACTTGAATTCAAAAAAACTGAAATAAAATCAAATAAATTAAGTTCTGTTGAAACCGGTTTGGCTCAATGGATAGAGCATTGGCTTGGGGACTAAAAGGACCCGGGTTCGATTCCAGTCAAGGGCATGTACCTTGGTTGTGGGCATGTCCACAGTAGGGGGTGTGCAAGAGGCAGCTGATCGATGACTCTCTCTCATGGATGTTTCTAACTATCTCTCTCCCTCTCTGTACAAAATCAATAAAATATATATTTTTTTTAAAATTAAGTTCTTTACTAGTACAAGACATATTTTAAAGTGCTCAACCATATGAAGCTGGTATCTATCATAATGGATAGTAAAGACAGAGAACTTTCCCATCATTGCAGAAAGTCTTATAAAGCACTGGTTTAGAAATAAAGAACAATATAGAGGCCCAATGCACAAAATTTGTGCAAGGGGCTCAGCCCCCGGCTGCCAAGGCAGCAGGGGGCATCTGCCTATGCCTTGGCCCCCGCCTGCCTGCTTCCACCCTCCTGTGCCTCTGCCTCAGGGGCTGAGGGCCTCTGTCTGGGCTGTGGCAACTGGGGGCCTAGGGCTCTGCCTCAGTCACAGCCCATAGCAGCTTAATCCTGAAGAACATCTGGTCTAATTAGCACATTACAATTTTATTATTATAGATAGGAAAACTAAAATACATATAAAGAAAAGGAAGGTTGGAAAAGCACTAGATGGAGACAAAATGTCAACTTATGGCCCTAACCGGTTTGATTCCGATCAAGGGCATGTACCTTGGTTGCAGTACATCCCCAGTAGGGGGTGTGCAGGCGGCAGCTGATTGATGTTTCTCTCTCATCAATGTTTCTAACTCTCCCTCTCCTTTCCTCTCTGTAAAAAATCAATTTTTTTTAAAAAAAAGTCAACTTATGCATATTTATATATCTAAAAGGCTAAGAGTCTGTCCATCCAACCAGTAGCTATGACATGCACTGACCACCAGGGGCAGATGCTCAATGCAGAAGCTGCAATGACATCCACTGCCCATTTAAAAAATAAACGGCACCCCAGATCTGGCGCTGACAAACTAACACTTGGCTTCCCCCAAGTGGAACACAAGCCTGCCACCATCCCAAAGCGACACCCACCAAATCACAGCCAACACTGCCAAGACCCCATGACACAAAATGGGCCCACAGCCCAGTCCAGCAACGATGGCTCTGGGCACTGGGTAATGACATCATGTAATAACGCCAGCTTCCTCTTCCTAGGGACTAGCATCCTTGGAGTTTTTTTTAGCCCAGGAACCTGACTAGCTTTATAACCAGGTGCAAACATTTTACAGTTTAACCAAATGTTTGTGAAGCATTTTCCATCTCATTTGATCCTCACAGAAGTCCTGGAGTAGGTAGGTAGACTCGGTAGAATCCTATTTCCTTCTCATCAGCAAGACACAAATAGCGATATTAAAATATTTCTTCTAATTAATTTCCTTTCAATGTGCAAGAATTTGTGCACTGGGATAATAGTAAATATGAGTGGAAATATTTAAAAATTTAATGGAAACCAGACTTAGTCAATCACAAAAGGGTATTCAATGGTGTGGTTTAGTGTAGGTCCACTATCTTCTACTCTTTTACTTGAATCTGGAAGGCATAATATTCATATTTATATCACAGATCTATTCCCTTAAAAAAATGTAAGAATCACCAGGAATACTCCAGCAGCTTCTAAATGGGAGATCATTTTGAGGGAGGCTCTCTCACCCACCATCACTAGTGAATTTCAAACAAATGAGGGTGGAATTGTGAGATAACTAGTAAGAAGTGAGCAAGGCATCAAGTTTAGAATATTACGGTCTCTATATGGTCACTACAACCCTGGTTAAATGCCCCAAGACACAAGGAGAACTCAGGAAGAGAGAATAATAAAATCTAGGTTAATGAATTATATTATTATGAGTTCCTGAAAATATAATATGGTCTCAAAGTGGAATGAGTAGAAGAATAAAAATATTTTTTACTCCTTATAAAGAGATACAAAAATAGAAAATAATTTGTTAAGAGTGTATTATATGTCTTTATAGGAATGTTTTTACTATATAGTAAGTGCTACCTGGCACTTTACCAGTCATAAAACTATACATATCATGTCTGATATAGGAAGAAAAATCTTAGTAGCCTTAGAAAGTGGCTTAAAATTTTTTTCAATGACTTTAACAAACTAGAATAACTAAGAGAAGTTTTCTACAAACACTCATTAAATAGGCAGCAACATATGTAAGTCATAAAGTAGCTTTTTAGAATTTAGGAGGCAAAACTTCTATAAGCTTAAGCTTCAAGCTTCACGCTTGGAACATCTTGAGAAACAGATGAAAAGTTGGAACATTTACTAACTCAATCTATAGATATTACATACATTGTCTATCTTATTTATGTTCTTATCCTTTCCCCAACCGTTCTCCAGAAGTACATTTATATTTTGCCCTAGTTTTCTATCAAGTATTTTCTAAATGTTCCTCAGGAATCTGGCCTTTCAATGTACATGTGTGTATATACACACATACATATTTTTTAAAATTAGCAAACTCTCCCTAAAGTTAGGTAAAAGATTTTTACTAAACTATCATTGGTCTTTTGGCAGTTATAGAAATTACTTATATTTCACCACTTATTCAAGTTTTCTTTTATAATATGCAGTAAATTTTGCAATTAACTTAAAAGTACTACCCAAACTTGAGTATATTTATGACTAGAAGTTGATGAATTTACTAGAGGCCCGTTGCATGAAGAGATTCATGCAATAGGCCTTCCTTCCAATGGCTTCCAGCACCGGTTTCCTCCAGCACCCAGGACCAGGCCTTCATTCCAGCCAGAGTCTGCTTTCCTCTTTGCTGCAGACTCAGCCTGGAGTCTGCCATCTTCGTCTTTGCTGCAGACTCCTGATTCTGCAGTCTTATCTTTGCTGCAGCACTCTGCTCCTGTAGATCCCTTCACCACCCCTTCCCCCCCCCCACCCCCCAACTCCTTCTCATAGCAGGAGTCCTGTCCCGCCTGGCCACTCTGTAACTGGAGCAGCTGGGTGCTGCCATCTTTGGCCTTCTAATTAACATACTCACTCTGATAGGCTGTGGGCCTAGTGGAAGTATGGTCAATTAACATGTTTGTCTACTATTAGGTAAGATGTATGATACTGTGTCCAGAATGACAAATACTTTGAACTGATTTTTTTGAACACTGCATTTTAAAATCATGTTAGCATATTGTGGTGAAAGAGGATATGTTTATAAAATAACCAAGCTATAAATTCTGTAAAGTTTGCCACTAAAAGTGAAAGCTTCTGAAGTTCCTAAATAAATATAGTAACAACATAAAAGCAATTCTGACTTAACCAGCAGGTAAATAGTCATTAACCAGAACAGAGGAAAAAAAAGAGAGAGAGAGAGACAGACATTTGATTAAACAAATAGAGGAATACCTGTTCACTAGAGAAATATCCATGAACATATTCAATTGCTTTTAATTTGTATTCTGTCAAAACAGCCTAAGAAAAAGAAAAACAGCATTATTATACGTAAACAGAATAATAATATGTATTCAGCAAAAATATCTAAGCTACTCAAACTGAAAATCTTCAGCCCAGCATGCAGAGTCAGCTAAAATCACTGTGGTGGCATGACAGTCTATCTTTGCAGGTTCCATACTTCAAGGGATAAACTGAAACAATAGGAAAACTTTCTGGGCCTCCCTATTTACTCGTACAAAAAAAGGAATTATAAACAGATAGGATTTGACATTAATAGAAATTATACATATAATGTATGTACTAATAAAAGTAACTAAATTTTCTAAACATCCCAAATTCAACTAAGCTGTCATCTTTAAAAAAATTAAATGTATCAGATATTACCCAGCTGTCAATTATTTATTCAGTACCTATTATGTCAAGGCTCTCAATCTTTCTATGGGGATATGAGAACCCAAGGAGCTAGAAGGTTCTGAATTCAATCTATGCACCTGCCAAAAACTGACATTGTGGCCTTTGAGAGGAATTTTAATTGTCCAGAGCACCTCCTTACCCATAAAATAGAATAGCATTCACTACCCACTTCAGAGTTATGATTAAAATAGTCAATAATAGATCTGACATATAATAGGTATTCGTAAGTGATGGTTCCTATCCTCACGTGGCATCTATCAACGGGAAATTCAGAGGGAAGTCTGGTGGCCTTAACCAGCATTATCTACAGCTGATTAAAATCAGGTGTGCTCTCTTTGCGAGTATTTTCAGTTTATAGATTAAAACACTAGATTACCATAACTTGGTAAGTATTGGTCATTAAAAATAAACTAATCTCTTTGCTTTTACTATAAAACAATAGTATTCGTACTTTCCACATTATCTTTTTGCTAGTAGAAAATACTATGGCCAATCAAGTAAGAAAAATATCCAGGGTCTAATTTTTATTGAAATGGGGAGGGATAGAAATGGCATTCTGGATAATGTACTCTTGGGCGTTTGATTATCATTATTATTACTGAACACAGTAAAAAGCAAGTTTCTGGACAAAATCATAGATTGTTCTGATGCCAAGACATGTCTCAATTCTTTCATCAGTACCGGAGAGGCATGGCTGCATCCCCAGGCACAACAGCATAGTACTCTGGAGTCAGAGTGCCTTAGTTTGAATGCCGGACCACAACACCTTCCATACTTCCCCCTTCCCGTCTGGATAACTGTGCTAACTAGTTAACCTCACAAAGACTACGTTTGCCATCTGTAAAATGAAGAGTATAGTACCTATATCTCATGGATTGTTAGCAGGTTCAAGTCAAATAGTGCATACAGCACATGAAGAAAGTGATTAAAACAGGCTTACATAGTAAGTACTCAATATTATTCTTACTTTCTTTTTGAAGAGCAAATTCAACATTGCCTTTCCCCTTACTTTCTTTCTCTTTCCTAATGTCTTTGTACATGCCTTTCTCTCTTACTGACAGTAGTCACAGTCATTATTACCTATAAACCTCAGGTGACACTCAGGCAGAGATTACCTGGTTTAAATTGACTTACATTTACAAAGTCTGAGAGTACATGGAAAAAAACCTATAGTAATTCTCATATTTAGATATGCCTATATTTTTATCCCATTTTAATAGACTAAGACAATATTGTTGCATCTAATTATTTGGCATAGACAGCAAAAGACATTTTGATTACAAAACAGAAATAATGACTTAAGTTGCTATCTTGTGTGAACAAGATTTTCATCTTTGAAAAACTTGTTATTCCTTCATTAGTATTTCCTGTGTGATCTTTAGGAGGGAGAGAATATGCAAAGTAACACCCTAGTTTCCAACAGTAGAAATCTACTGGTCTACCTCAATGCATCAATTATTTTCTAACAAACAGTAGTTAAATACCAGCTCATGAATAAATTGTGGCAAATTCTAAATATAGAATTAACAAGCTAACACATCTTTTTTGGACAAACTGGGTTTGTAAAATCAGAAATTTCATTCAAAAAAGAAGATTCAATATTGCCGAATATGTAAATTTCACCTCACATGCAAATTGGAGAAATAAAAATGCATTATAAAGAATGACGAAAAACAACATTTTGCTTTATAGGTAATAAAGAAAAACAGCATATCCACAGGCAATTTAATTAATAATTTCATAAGCTGAAACAAATAATAAGCACCAGAGCACACAGTAAGAAATCTTTCCAAGTCAATCAAGGGTCTTAAAAGTATGGAAATATGGCGATAACTGCCTGGGAGTTCTAATGAGAATGTTACAGGAAGTGCCTCGAATTCTACTTATGCAAACTCTTATTTCTGGGTTTGAAGTAGTGATGCTTAAGGCTAAATTTCAATTTTTTTTCTGTCCGACTCATTCTGAGAGGTAGGCTATTTACAATGGTCTCAAAAAGGAGCAAAAACTTGGAAAGCAAGATTAAAAAGTTTTGGAATTCAAGTCATTGAAGCCCATTCCTAAGGGTATGACTTTAAACTTAATAACACACTTTTCATTAAGGCACAAATTTTGTCCTGCCAATTCTCAGATTTAAAAAATCAATCATGGTAATAAAAACCATTAAAGGAATGTTCTACATATTTGCTCTATCTTTCAATGTCTTATGTTACTGAAAGATGAGGAAATCAGTTCAGAAATAGTTAAGTCACAGTAAATCCAAAAGTACAGAGCTATTAATTTCTGTTTGTATCGTGAAATGTATCAAGACATAAGGTCCTACACTATATATTAAAATTCCAACCAATTTTGCAATCCTAAAACCCGTATTTTGCACAATCTGCACAGTAGCTCAACGAGAATAAAGCATGAGAATTCGTGGCTTATAAAATTAAAGAATAAAATGTAATTACCTTTCTAATTTCATCCAGCACCATTTCAAAGGACTTTTTGTCCATCTTGACTACTCTCTCGACGTGGTTTTAAGTTATACTTTCAATTACAAAACGCTCGTCAGCTCTGAGGTAAAAATGTTTATAGTTGAGGAGGAAAAAGACGTCAGGAGCAGGAGAAAGGATGAGAAGAGGTAGACTACTTAAAACTCTGGAAGCAATTCTAAAAATGAAGACTACAAAGACTTTTTATTTAAAAAAAGAAAAAAAGCATCAGGCTTCCCCGGCTTTTGACACGAAGCTTCAGGACACTTGGGAGAAGACCCGGGTCCTTGCTGAGTCCCGCTGAGAAGCCCGGGCTTCGGCCGCCAGAGCCGAGCGTGGTCCCGGCGGCGCAGGCCGAGCCGCAGGGGGAGGCCCGAGCGCTTCCGGCGCAGCCGCAGGCAGGCGGCCCGAGCGAGGCCGCGGGCGCAGGAGGTGCCGCCTCCCCGCCCGCGCCGGCACTTAAGCGCGGCCCTCAGCACCGCGCACCCGGGCTCGTGGCCCAGCTGGCGCTCATCCCGGCGGCGCCGCAGGACACCTGGGTTCGCGCGAGCCGGGAGCCGGGGGCTGGCGGGCTCTTTGTTACCAGCTGCCTCGGCTTCTGGCGCGGGCCGGCGCCGCAGAGCCCCGGGAGCCGAGCGAAGCGGGCCGGGTTGCGGGCAGGGGGACTTCGGGGCCCCGCAGGCACAGCGCGGCGAGGCGCCCCTCCCGGCCCCCCTCACAGCGCCCACCGGCTCTGGCGGGCCTTCAGTGGAACCGTCGCGCGAGCAAACTCAACGCCGGGCCGCTAGTTTAGGCCACTCTTTGCCGAAAGCCGAAGGAGGGGTCCTTGTGTGGGAACATAGGTATCCACAACGTGTGCCTGAATTCCTCAGAATCAGAAGCACATGACACCCTCCGCACAATCTGGAAGCCATTTTTTGAGGGCCACACCCTATAGCTTGGGTTTGTGTGTGCTAGCTTCTGATTGGTCTATCTTAATTTCAAAACTGATCCCCTAGTCGTCAGGGCAGAGACACGGGCGCCCGAAGTGCCTTCGGCGCAGGACCGCTTTCCCGGCCGGGAGGGGTGGGCTGGTCACTGGGTCAGCCCCAGGGCACGTGACATGGGGGCGGGGACGCAGGGAGCTCCGGGAATCCCTGATGGCGTGCCCGCTCTGTTCTCCTTTCCGGTTCTCGAACCCCGAGCATCCAGGAAGGGAGACGGAGACAGGGGCCTCTGTGGCTGCAGAGAACCGAGTGGACCTGGGCTTCTCAGCCTCTGACGCCCGCAGAAGCTGAATCCTGTCGCGCTTCCTGTTTCGTCATGGCGAGATTCTGGCTGTGCGCGGCCGCCACTATCTTTTTCCTTGCGTTTGCGATTTTATATTCGCGCTATTCTGGCTCTTCGGTGAGTTGAATAGTGAAGAAGTTGATGCTTGTGGTGTGGATAGCACTTTGGGGAGGCGATGCTACCCTCTCCAATGGAGGTGATGCACTAGCTTGTCTCAAACGGGGTGTGGATGAGAGTGGTTGAGCGGAACCCCTTGGTCTTGTCTTGTCTCTTAGTTTCAAAATGTTTGGACAGAGGGTTCCTGACATGATTTTTCTACTGTGGGATAGTGCAAAGGCGATACCATTCAGTAGACACTACTTCTACGGGCTAGCACTGTGCAAGCCTGCTACTCTCTCCTGTGCTAGACAGTTCTCAGCCACAGGATCAGGAAGATAAACAGTGGATGCTGTACACTGTTGTCAGGGTTTGTTGTTTTGTTTTTGTTTTTGTTTTGGAGGGGATTGTATTTTCGGATCCCATCATGTTTATAAATACATCTGTGTCTTCTGGAGAGAAGTGAAAGGCTTCATGAGATGAAACTCAAGAGAATTGCCCAACTATAGGATAATGTGTGTTCTGAGCACATTTAAAGTAGGCTAGGTTATGAGCGATAGGTTACTTATAGTAATGCTTTTTAAAATTATGATGGACTTATCGAGATGTAAATCGAGGAGCATCTATATATGATGCATTCTCTTCTTTCCCACCTACCACTACAGCCTCAAAGACTTTACAGATTTGTATTTTGGTTGACTTGGTTTTTAAATGTATAAGACCATTCCTTCCCACACATTTAAGACTTCTGTGGATAGAGGTACACTTAGAAAGTAAGCTTTTTTTTTCTTTTTTTTTTTTCAACCTAGACTGTAAATTGAATCTTCGTCTTCTGATTTTATTTAAGGTTTTAAGAGAGTTTACTTTTCACATTTCATGGAGAACCGAGGAAATTCTTTACAGACTGGATGTGGGATGGCCTAAACATTCAGAGTACTTTACTGGAGCAACATTTTGTGTTGCAGTTGACTCCCTGAATGGACTACTTTACATAGCCCAAGTAAGTAAAATTGGGATTTAGAAAACAAAATACATGAATACAAAAGGAGCAACAGCCTGTTTTACTGTAATAAGTCATTTATATTTATAAATGTTAACATTATTTGATTAACCTTTACTTTTTGTTTCTCTTTGCCAAAATAAACATTACTTCCTTAAAACTGACTTTATCTAAGCAATTATTTTTGTATGCCTTCAGAGAGGGGATAACATCCAAAAAGTACTAGTGTTCACAGAGGATGGATATTTCCTACGAGCTTGGAATTACACAGTTGACACACCTCATGGTATGTTTGCAGCCAGTACACTGTATGAACAATCCATTTGGATCACGGATGTAGGAAACGGTATGTGTACTAGCATCTGTTAAATTAGCTTGTTAAAAATCATATCTTTGCTCATGTTTTTTTCTTTTTGTCTTTTTAATCCCCACTGGAGGATATTTTTCATTGATTTTTTTTTTTTTTTTTTTTTTTTTTTTAGAGAGAGAGTAGAAAAGAGAGGGAAAGACAGAGAGAAATATTGTTGTGAGAGAAACACATTCATTGGTTGCCTCCTGCATGAGCCGACTAGGGCCCAGGTCAGAGAGGAGCCCTTGACTGGGATAGAACCCAGGACTCTTCGATATGCAGGCCATTGCTCTATGCACTGAGCCAAACTGGCTAGGGCACTTTGCCCATGTTCTTGTTTGCATGTTTTAAAATCAGAGTTGCCCAATCTAATCATGAAATCATGTATTATAAAAATATATTGTACTTCAGTAGAATTAAGACATTGAACAAAGAGACTATCATTATTATTATCTTTCCTTTAACTTTATAGGATCCTTTTTTAAATGTATATTTTATTTTTTCAATTGAAGTTTATTTTTAGTATTGTTTTGTCTTGATATCAGGTGTACAGCATAGTGATTAGACAATCATATATGTTAAAAATTGTTCATCCTGATATTTCCAATACCCACCTGGCACTATACATAGTCATCGCAATATTATTGTCTATATTCCCTATGCTGTACTTTACATCCCCATGACTATTCTGTAACTACCAATTTGTATTTCTTAATTCCTTCACTTCTTTAACCCAGTCCTCCAACCCCTGTCCTTTCTAGAAACACCAGTTCAGTCTCTGTGTCTATCCTTTATTTTGTTCTTTAGATTCCACTTAAAGAGAAATCATATGGTATCTGTCTTCTCTCATTGACTTATTTCACTGTGCATAATACCCTCTATATCCATTCATGCTGCTGCAAATGGTAGGATTTCATTCTTTGTTTAAGGCCTGGTAATATTTCATTATATATATATATAATATTATATACATATTATATTATATGTTATATGTAATATATATTATATATATTTATATATATGATATATATAATATATATATATATACACACCACAGCTTTTCTTTTTTTTCCATATATTTTTATTGATTTCAGAGAGGAACAGAGAGCGTGAGAGAGAGAGAGAAACATCAGTGATAAGAGAGAATCATCGATCAGCTGCCTCCCGCACACCCTACACTGTGGATCAAGCCTGCAACCCTGGGCTTGTGCCCTGACCTGCAATCAAAAAGTGACCTCCTGGTCCATGCATCAGTGCTCAGAAAGGAAGGGAGAAAGATAGCCAGAAACATCAATGAGAGAGAAACATCGACCAACTGCCTCTTGCACACCCACTACTGTGGATGTGCCTGCAACCAAGGTACATGCCCTTGACCGGAATCGAACCTGGGACCTTTCAGTCCACAGGCTGATGCTCTATCCACTGAGCCAAACCGGTTTTGGCATCTAATGAGTTCTTTTTTATTTTTTTATTTTATTGATTTTGTACAAAGAAGAAGGGAGAGAGATAGAGAGTTAGAAACATCGATGAGAGAGAGTCATCGATCAGCTGCCTCTTGCACACCCCCTACTGGGGATATGCCCGCAACCAAGGTACATGCCCTTGACCGGAATCGAACCCGGGACCTTTCAGTCCCTAAGCCGACGCTCTATCCATTGAGCCAAACCGGTTTTGGCCTAATGAGTTCTTTATTGTAGCAATATTATTTGTCATTTCTTTTTGGTTCTTCTTCATTTCCTCTTGGTTCTTACATATATTGTTGAATTTGTCTTCTAGTCTTTTCAGCTTCTTTATGACCATTTCTCTGAATTCTTTCTCTAACATATTGCTTATTTCCATCTCATTTACTTCCTTTCTTGGTGATTACTCTTCTTTTGTATGCAGGCTGTTTCTTTGTCTCCCCATGATCTTTTCTCTCTGGGTGTTGGTTATGTAGCTCTCTCTATCCTGCATTGACTTAAAGGCAGAAAATACAAAACAACAGGATACAACGCACAGGGCACCAAACACAAATGTATTCACGATGCTAATAACTCCAAATAAAGATGACCACAGAGAAAAGAACTACAGGATAGAAAAGCAAACAAAATGATATTGAGAAAAAAGTGAAGAAAAAAGAAGGGGGGAAATAAATATATATGTATATGGGGAGAAAAGTCCAATAAAACAACAACTAATCCAAAAAATGCAAACAACTAACACCCAGGTGAATTTGAGGAGTTTAGAGCTTTCTCTAGGTAATATATGACCTTTCTGTCCACGGATTGGCTCACCAACTGTGTTTAATTCGCCAGTTCCGAGCGGGTGTTGTTTGATTCAGTTCTTCCTTCTATATGCTCTGTGAGAAGGCACAGGGCCCATCAGCATATTTAGCACCGCTTTGTCTCCGGTGGACAGATTTTTGAGATGCCCATGGTCAGGGAGCCCTGGTATTCATGGGTTCACAGCTGAGGCAGCTGGTCCCTAGGCATTGTGGCTGTAAGGTCCTGGGAGGTATCTGAGGTCTCCCCAGTTGAAGGTAACATTGTGGAGTGAATGCGAATAAAGACCACTGTAGTCCAAACCAAATTAAAATTTAGGGAGCCTTTATTGCCTGCCAGCGGCTGTTCTGCCTTCCAGACAGAGAGGTCAGAGAGCAGCAGTGACCTTTGGTGTTGGACCACTTTTAAGCACATTAACCACATCCTGTTTTTGCAGAACGAGTAACCTAAGACAAAACCAGATTTTCCCAAGTAACATAAAGATCATGCCAATGACAGACCATGTTATTCACATGGGTCATCCTGTTCTTCAGAAAGCTGACAGTGTTCTATCTTGCAAGGCTATTTTGTGAGATGCAAGGGGAAGAATCATGAAACTATATTTCCAGACCTGGCCTGGTGTCAGCACTGACAACTCTTGTCTGGGGCATAGTGCACAGCCTCTCCGGAATGCTCAAAAATTCCCACTCTAACAGTAAGGCTAGGCCTCCCCTTCAAGGTGACATGGTCTCTGCTGCAGAGCCACCCGCTCCAGAAGATATTTCAGCAGCAATAGAGGCTGCTTGGCCAGGGGAATCCACCAGTCCCCAGCAGTCCTGTGAATATAGCTTTTCCTCTCTCACAAATACAGATGCTCCCTGCACGTCCACGCATTCTCCTCTTGTTCTCTCACACACCATCTTGCAGCCTGCCATCCTATTGGCAGCCATCTTGGATCTTTCATTTTGAGTTTATTCTTATTTATGGTATAAGTTCATGGTCAAATTTCATTTCTTTTGTATGTATCTGTCCAGTTGTCCCACCACCATTTATTGAAAAGACTGTCTTTACTCCATTATATGCTCTTGCCTCCTTTGTCAAATATTAATTGAGCATAATGTCGTAGGTCAATTTCTGAGATCTCTGTTTGGTTCTATTGATCTGTATACCTGTTCTTATAACATTACCAGGCTATTTTGGGTACAATGGCTTTGTAGTATAAAAAGATCTAAACTTGTGATCCCTCCACCTTTTTCTTCTTTCTCAAGATTACACTGGCTATTTGGGAGTCTCTTTTGGTTCCATATTATTGTTCTAGATCTTTGAAGTATGCCATTGATACTTTAATAGGGTTTGCATTGAATATATAGATTTCTTTGGGTAGTATCTCCATTTTAATGATGTTGAGTCTACCAACCCATGAACACAGTATATTCTTCCACTGGTTTATATCTTACTCTATCTCCTTTTTCACTATTATGTAGGTTTACAAGTACGGGTCATTTCCCTCCTTTGTTAAGTTTATTCCTAAATATCTTAATATTATTTTGTTGTTGCAGTGGCAAATGGAATTGTTTTTTTAGTTCCTCTTTCTGATAACTCATTATTGCTGTATAAAAATGGCATCAATTTCTGGGTGTTGTTTTGTATCCTACATTGCCGAATTCATTTATTAAATCTAATAGTTTTTTGGTGGAGTCTTAAAGGATTTTCTGTGTACACTATTATATCATCTGTGAATAATGACAGTTTTACTTCCTCCTTTCAAATTTGAATACCTTTTGTTTTTTCTTCTAGTCTGATTGCTATGGCTAGTACTTCCTGTACTATATTGAATAATAGTGGTGAAAGCGAACATCCCTGTCTTGTTCCAGTTCTAAGGGGAAATAGTTTTAGTTTATGCCTGTTGATTGTGATGTTGGCTTAGGTTTGTCAGATATGGCCTTTATTATGGTGAGGTATGATCCCTCTATTTCCACTTTACTGAGAGTTTTTATAAAAAAGTGGTGTTGGAGTTTATCAAATGCTTTTTCTGATATCAATTAATATGATCAAGTGATTTTTATTTTCCAATTTGTTTATGTGTTTATCATATTTATTGATTTTGGAAGAATGGACCAGTCCTGCATTCCCAAAATAAATCCCACTTAGTCATGGCATATTGTCTTTTTTCATGTATTGCTAGATCCGATTTGCTAATATTTTGTTGAGGATTTTAGCATCTATGTTCATCTGTAATATTGGCTTCTAATTCTTTTTCTCTGTGGTATCTTTATCTGGTTTAGGCTAATGGTAGCCTGGTAAAAAGAATTCGAAGTGTTTCTTACTCTTGGATATTTTTATATAGTTTGAGGAGGATAGATGTTAATTCTTTTAATGTTTGGTAAACTCCCTTGTGAGACCATCCATACCGGGGGTTTTGTTTGCTGGGAGTTTATTTATTACTGCTTTAAATTCATCAGTAGTTATGGGCCTATTCCAGTTTTCTGATCCTTCCTGATTAAGTTTTGGAAGACTGTATTTTCTTGATGTTAAGTCCATTTTGTCCATGTTGTCCAGCTAGTTGGAATATATAATAGTTATTCATAGTATTTTTTTTTTTTTTTTACAAACCTTTGTATTTCTTTGGGGTCAGTTGTTACTTTGCTTCTTTCATTTCTGATTTTATTTGGGTGCTCTCTCTTTGTTTTTTAATGAATCTGGCTAAAGGTTCATCAGTTTTATTTATCTTTTCAAAGAACCAGGACTTTGTTTTGT